TTTGACATATTGCCCGCTCCGTTAATTCATTCATTCATTTTCATAAGCGCCTCTCGTTTCGGATCGCGGAGGAACATACGACAGAGACAGTGTTTTCAACATGTTCCCGATCTTGTGCCAGCGTCTGAGCTTCGGCAGAAGACAACCGGAGTTGAGAGAATACTTCACACTTGCACAAATAATCTTGGCCGTCCCCTGGGTCTTCTGCCGCTCAGCTTAGCAAGAAATAGTTGCTTCGCCTTCTATTGTGGCGGCATTCGCAACACTTGCCAAGACCAAACCCAAACCATCGCAGCTGTGACTTCCCAGTCTGAAGAAACAGCGGCTGTACACAAAGGCTCACGCGGATGTCTGTATTTTGCGTCTCTAGACGCGTAAGGCCAGCGAATCGTTTGCAAAAGCCCATTTCAGCAGCTTGTAGCCAGGTTCGAAGTTTTTTAGTGGTGGTCCACGCCTAATGACCGTAGGTAATCATAGGGATAAAGACCGACCTGAACACTCAGAGCTTAGTTTTCAGACTTAACTCTGCTTTAGTCAGAGTGGATCTGGCTAGTTCACGCAGAACGCCACTAGCTACTCCAATTCGCCGGTAGATTTCTTCTTCAAATTTTCCATCACTGGTAAATACAATTCTGAGGTACTTGAACTTCTCCACCTGCTCCACTGCCTCTCCGTTAATCTGAAGAGAGCAACGGACAGGAGAACGAGAAAGCACTAGGCTTTTCGGTTTAAGGTACGTTCACACGCACGCCGTCCACGTCGCACTCGGCTGCGAACCTTTCCAGAGATCACTGTATATCAGTTTCAGAAGATGCCAATAAAACAACTTGGTCTTCAAACAGCAACCTTCTCGTTTTGACACCCCTTTCACTGATACATTCGTCGTCTTGACAGCGCCTGGCTATTCCTTCCATGCTATTCCTTCCACGTACAACACAAACAGAACGGACATAACGCACACCTGGCGGAGACCAGGCCAGCAATGAAATGTCTCGACTTTACGCTATTTTCTCTGACGTAGCACCTGCTATCGGAATACAGTGATTGGATGGCCCGTAGCAACTAGCCTTCTATCTCATACGCATGCACGCACACAGCTGGTTCCGCTGGATCCGGTCATAAACTTTCTTCAGGTCAACAAAACACATGTAAACCGAATGAGCAAACCCCTACGATTTCTCAACAGTCTGGCGTAGGGTGAATACTTGCTCAGATATGCTTCATTGATTCATACTTCATACTTAGCAAAGTATGTTTTTTCGTTGGAATTACCGCATAGAACACGATGCAGCGGAATTAATAATAGTATATCTATTGTTGTTGCGCCATATGATATTTTACTTGTTCTTGCTTCAATCAGTGTCTTTATCGACTGTTG